ACGTGATGTTACTCTCAAAAATTATTTTGATCATTTCTTATTAAATAAAAATATATGGTCGATCACTCCACCCTTAATGATTGGCAAAGTCCAATTTTTGTAGAAAAACATGGCAATTACGGGATTTTTTATTTATATATCAATTAAAGTTTGAAATTATTTATTTATTTATATAAATAACCTTTGGATAGAGATTTCGATCGAATAATTCCTTTGGCTAGTCTGTTTTTCTTAATTTTAACAATTAATATTCGACCAATAAAAATGGTATAAATCACATGATATATTAGTACAATTTAATTATTCTATAATTTCTAGTAATAATATAGGTTACAGAGAAAAGTTATGATGACCAAAAGTGTGCTGTAATAGATTGATGAGGGTATAGATATTCTATTACCATCATTCAATGAATTTTGGAATCCGCTAGTACACGTACCTAAAAATGTTCGAAATTTTAATTTAAATGGTAATAATAATAATAATATTATTATTATTATTATTATTAAAAATATAAATACAATACTTACATTTTCCCCCATTTTCACATGTTGCAGTATAATCTTTGAAAGCACAATTTACATCACGACAAGTTTTTGTGAATTTATCACATTCAGCCTGTCCCAATGTTGTATTTTGAGTTGGTGATGGAGCAATACTAGTAGTAAGAATTACAGGTGATGATGTCGTTGTGGGGATTGATTGAGGTGAAATTGATTTTGGAGTCACCGGAACTGTTTTTGTACAATTGGGTTTAAATTAATCCATAAAATTATCTTTAATAAACAAAAAATTATATCTAACGATTATCACATTTATATTGTTATTATTATTGTATACATACGTTGAGTTGATGATTGTTGAATTGTTGGAGATGTTGTTGGTTGTAATTGAGATTGACTTTCAGTGGATTCGGTTTGTTTAGAGGAAGAAGATGGTAGTGATGATGTTGTTGTTGGTGGTGTTGTTGTTATTGTTGTTGTTGGTGGTGGTGGTGGTGGTGGTGGTGGTTGTGTTGGTGGTGGTTGTGTTGGTGGTTGTGTTGGTTGTTGTTGTTGTGATTCTGGTTGTTTTTTTGGAGGAGGTGTTTGTGATTCTTGTGGCTCTGGTTTTGGTTGTGGTGCTTGTGGCTCTGGTTTTGGTTGTGGTGCTTGCGGCTCTGGCTCTGGTTTTGGTTGTGGTTTAGGAGACGGCGATGGTGATGGTGTATCATCTTTGTTTGTAGGTAAATCAGGTACATCGACTAAAATAAAAAATCGAATTAATTCAATTGATAATTCAAAACGTTATTATTATATACTAATTATAATTTTACGCACCCTTGGGAACTTTTTGCGCCGAGACAATCGACACCAAAACAATTATTGTTACCAAGAACAATGATAGCAATAAATTTGTTCGCATTTTTTTGAATCCAATTTTTTGATAGTCAAATTTATATCGAGGTTTTCACCTGTGAGTTTGGCACAGGTATTTAAAAAAACTAAAACGAAGTGAAAATTAAATGGGAATGGGTGATAAATATTTATTTTTAAAATGAAAAGGAAAAACTACTTCATTTTTATATTTTTATTATTTATATTTTTGTCCATTGTTTTACAAATTAAAGAAATTCTTTTATTCCTAATTTATATAATGATCGATTGATTATGCTCTTATATGGTAGGTAATTTATTATGGGGTGGACGTGTTACGTCGGTGATTGCAAGATAAATAAATAATAATGATAAAAAAGGATCCTTGTAGAAATTCGTGCCACCGAGGCCCCTTTTCAATATAATTGTTAATCAAATTTGTGCTAATTTGATTAAATTTTGGGGTGGGTTTTTGGATACAAAATTTCACGCGCGTGAATTTCAAATTGCATAACATTAATAATATATATAATCAATACAATAATATTTTTTGGATTGTTACAACCAACCAATCTAAAGGTCGTACTCACTGAATATTCATTCGTTTATATTCATTCAATCCATTAATATTCGGATAATCATTCGAATAATTAATTGTTCAGTGAATGATTATTCATTGATTATTCATTGAATATTCGGTGAATATTCATTGTCAACAAAAAAACTTTAAATTTATTTAATCATTTCACTCTCTATCAAAATTATCAATCTTTTTTTTTTTCCAAAAAAACAATCTTTTCATTCTTTTTGAGGTTGTTGTATTTCCAGCTTGACTAAATAATCTCTCGCTTGGAGTGGATGTTGCAAGTGCATACAAGTATTTAGTAGCTAACTTTGAAAAAAAACAGGGAAATCTATTTTTATGATGTTTCCACCACAAGAATAGATTATTTCTTCTAATAATAGATATTCATCAACCTAAAATTTGAATTAATAGCATTAAATGCTGATAATCAGGGCTGGAAATAGGGTCTGAAAAAAAACGGAAATTCCTCCTGAATATGAATGCTAAGAATTTTCCGGAAGAAAAATTTAAAAAAAAGGAAAATTTTTTGGGTGCTAAAATTTTTTTCAAATTTAAAAATTTTCTTTATTTTATACCTCTGTTTTTACTTTGAAGAAGATTACTAAGAGCATCACTAAAATCATAACATAATAAATCAGTACCTTCTAAACCAA